AGAACCAGCGCCCCGTGCTCCGAATCGTTCAGCTCTGTGCGAGGGGCTGTCACGTCCAGAAACATCCCTCCACACACAGGTTTTCGTGCTCCCTCGTGCAAGGCCTGACGGGCATCGGCCCCATCACCATTTTGCAAACCCCTCTCCCGCAGTTTATCCACATCTTTAAGCTCGGAGGGAGCAGCAAGTACACTTTGCAAACCTCCCTCACTTGAAATAACAGAAAAGAACCGGGTTAAATGTCCTGTGTAGCTCACAACCCAGCGCAAACCACCACAAGCTGTATTTTTGTCATACTGGGTGCTTTTACGTTACAGCACGTCAAGGTAACAGTCAACACGGTCCAACTTCACATCGTTCTAGAATATAAAGCACAATATATTTCCACTGGATGAAGTCATGGAGGAGAAAGATACCCCGGTGCACGTGAAAAACCTCATCTCCCCTGCCAGTGATCCTCACAGAAAGGGGCCGTGTTTCATGTCATCCTGCCTTGCTCCTCTTCAATTGGTTTAACCCAGCCTATACACTCCATCCTACAACTGAAGTAACATGGAAGTATGTGGCCATCATCCCACTCCAAAGAAAAACAAGTGAGGGATGGGGGCTCAGATGACAAACAGGAGCGAAAGGCCAAGGCTTCAGCACTTGCTGATGAACGGGAAGAGTACTCACTGCCCAGGAAAAGTAACTGGCTTTAGGATGGGAAGTCACCGAGAGGGACAGGTGCCATCGTGCTTACAGCCACTCCAGCTGAGCCCCACGAACGTTACGTGACTGAAAACAAGTCACTGAAATCCAATGAACGGCAACACACACAAACAACTAAGAACTGGTTCTGCATCTTTACTCCCCATCCATCAGGGCTGAGACAGAAGGGGAAGGTTTTATGGCAAAAGATCCTTCTCCCAGGAGATACTTTGGCTTGTGACATTTGTGTAAGGCTTCTCTGCACTGCTCAACCATGCAAAGTGCCTGTGAACGGGGACGTGGCCTCCCCAGCAGGCACGGGGCTGTGGGCCACGCCTGCATCAAAGTGTACCACCACCCCAGGGAGGCCTCTACACAGGGAACTTAAATCTAACCTCGATAAATAAAACCAAATGTTTATTTACACCAAAGAATTCCAACACTGGATCTTTCACATATGAAGGACAAAGTATATATACACAGCAAGGGGTAGCAGGGCTGTAACAAGGGTGCTTTTCCGTTGTCAATGATAATATTTGTCCACAATTACTGATCTACCATTTCAGTTTAAATTAACATCTGCTCGCTCCTTCCTCTCAGTGCGTATTTACAAGACTGTGAGGTAACTGGTATTCTCACCACATGGCACGTGAGGGAGGGGATGGTGGGTGAAGATGTGGTATCGGACTTGGCGCAGTCTGATTTTTCCAGCTTTAAGTAGCCACCAGCTTGAAACCTATATAAACGATTTAAAAAACAATATACCCAATAACAAACTAATTCCAGAGATCCAAGCCAAGCAATGGCAGGAAGAACGCTCCCCGAGAAAGGGGCCGATTAGAGTACAGCTTACTCTACAGGAGCACCTTTCTCAGGAGGTGGCAAGGACTCCAATTGGATCAGTAAGTTCATCTTTTAAGACTAAAATTACATGCAAGGGGGTGAGTTGGCATTCTGGTTGGCTCCTAAGGAGACACAATTCAATCCAATTAGGGTTTCAGACATTATCTGCACTTACTCCTTTTCAGCTTATACCACCTCTCCATACTGGAATTGTCTCCTCAGTGTACCCCGGCTGAGTCATACGCAGGACATGGGGTTAAAGTGAGTGGTACTTTAAAAATCCACCTCCCCTGCCTCATGAAGACTTGGTTTGGTAGTCTCTGGAGAACAGCACAATCCCCCAAGGTGTAGGCTTGTGGAGGAGTAATGGTGGGAACATGGAAGAGAAGAGATTTCCAGCAGGATGCAAGAGCTTGGAAATGCTGTTGATTCATCTTTGTTCTTAAATGAAGAGTATTTTTGGGGGGGGGCGGG